TTGCTAAGATGCACCCAGCATCACTGCCAGGGTCAAAGCAGAGTGTGGTGCACACGGACGAGTTGTATATCTACCACTCCTACAACCGCCATCGAAACAGCCTGTACGGCCCCTGCGGCACCAAGAACGTTTCCCGGAAGGAGCAATGCATGTGATGACGATTCTGCTTCATTGCTGGAATCTTGGACGCACCTGACATACTGCCGGCTGCTGGGCCTGGACATCTTCACGGGCAAAACAACTACGGCGAATGATCCCAGAGTGTATCAGGGTAGGTTCAAGCATGACAACTGTGCTGTGTAAAGTACTTTGGTCACCTTCTCGACAAATTGGATTCTCTCGACATCACGAATGGTCGCATAGTCATGGACGATGCCAGGCGCCACTGCGTCAAACTGATTGCGACGGCCCACCTTAAAGATGAGTGCTGTCGATACGGGGTCCCGTTCGTGGAGAGCAAGTCAAGAGTGGCCTGTGGAAAGAGTTGCTGCGCATATACAACTAACGTGTGATGCCAGTGGTTAATTCCTTGGCATCATGTCGTAGGCACCAAGTCGTGCACGCCTCTTCGCATTACTCCGACCTTCAGCCAATTGAACTGGTTTGGGCCATCGTAAAGGGCGATGCTGGACGAAGGCGCAAGGAAATTACGAAGTTTCAAGAAGTTAAGGCCCGCATCGAGACGGCTGGTCCCTTGATTAATCCAGAATTTTCCTAACATCGCCTCGGATAGCAGCATTAGAATGATGTCAATACCTGTACAAACGATATGCGTATTATCAATTAATACTTACCGTATTGAGTAGACACGATAATCAATCCAGATATTAACAAACTCATCCACACCATAACATATACCACTGCCTTGTGATAAGCTCGATTTGATGTCTGGGGCTTTGTACCTCGTTCTGCGGGAAGTTACATTCGCCTTGCAGTTGCTCTTGGTCCCATTTAAGACATCAACACCGATTCCAGTAGTACACGAAATTTCGATCCAATGATTTGCTTAGAAAGTCTTTTGAATGGCTTGGAACAACTTTTCGGTACAGACTGGATTATCAACAGAAACCCCGAAATAACTCAACAAATTCAACATTTTTCATTACTAAGGACTAGAAGTCGTGTCGCGGTGGTCTATGGATCGACTCCTACGATCCTCTAATTTTTTGACATCCATTATCCAACAAAACATTCTTGGTTTTTGGCCAATCATACTGCCCAGTTCAATTCATTTCTCAATTTGCTTTATTGGACGCAAGTGGAATGGAGTACATACCTTCAGGGTAATTCTGTGGTCATTTTAAGGACAAGCTGCTTTACAGTCACATGCAGACAAAGTCTCACAATCTTATGACTAACCCACTTTCTTCAGTGTCCGCCCAAGTATTGAAAGCATTTGGAAGCTTTCGATCGAAAGTGCGTATGTCACCGTACACAGTACTAACTGTTAGGTTTGTTGACTCCGTATGAAAACTACTCTGTTTTGGATTAATGCCAGGAATTGATGTGTTGACATGGAGGGTAGCTTCACTTCCTGCATGGAGGACTGCGACATATAGCACCAGAATTTCATACAAAGCTGCGTCGAAGACATGCAACAAGTTTAGTATTACTTTAGTATTGTACTTAATTAGGGGAATTCATGGAAACACCTGCCATCGACATACAGACTCTACACGCGCAAGTCAGTCCTTGACAAGTCCAAGTCATTTGTGCACACGTGCAAGTTAGCCAAAAAGTATACCACTATTGAACACGCGTGAAACATAAAAAAACACGTTCAACAAATCCATACCCGTACTTCCACAAGTCTAAACAATTCAGACGGAACCATATTACCGGTATGTGACACCGCAGACACATGACAGTCAAGATAGTCAACTAAATTCACAGAAGATCCAACAATTGTCAAACAAATATTTTGCCTCTACAGATTTCCCCCACATTAGGAGACAGTTGCATGAAATTGTTTTTCAAGGGTATTTTGTCATGACGAGTATTTAGTTACGAGGTGGCGTGTTGATACCTGATTGGCCGTGAAGAAATGTTTTTGCATGCATTGTGCTCTGATTGCAAATGGAC